CTTTAAAAACCGACACTTTCGGGAGTGTCAATCGCCTCTCACCCACTGCGATCATCGGTTCCTTCTGCCTTCCCCTACTTGGGACTTAAAGAGAACTATGGGGTAACCTTTTTATCCCATAATTCTCTTAAGGGTCACGGGAGGTCCTCCCGTGACCCAAAGCTCAGTATATAGCGAGCTAGGACTATGAGGTGAGTGATTTTTCAGTCATCCTCATGGTTAGTTAGAGCCGACGTGTGACAATGAAACTGTAACAGGTCGGCTCTATTGATCGGGAAGTGAGTGAACACATACCTATATAGTGAGAGCGACGCAGCCGGGACGGATCCCGACAATACTGCCTGAATCCACCCAGCTGTGTGAGTGACAGCGGCAGCGGGCTCTGGCTATCTAGAGGCAGAGCCAGCTGTGCCCATCCCATCTGTTCCTCCAGTCAGCGCTTTCTTGGAGGAACGGATAGGGGAGGTGTGATCCCTGTGGGGAGGGTTGACTGACAATCACAGCTCACTGCTGGGAGATGATCGGAAAGTAAGCGAGCGACGGTATGTGTTCACTCACTTCCCGATCAATAGAGCCCATCTGTGACAGTTTCATTGTCAGACGTCGCCTCGAACTAACTAGGAGGATGAGTGAAAAATCACTCACCTCATAGCTCTCCTTTAAATTTGCTTAGGTCTATAGAAACTAGTCATATTTTTTATGATTTCCAGCAGTGGATAAAAAAACTAAAATATCTTGGATGGCATAACAGGACAGTCCATGATGCATAGGCATCTAAAAAAAGGGATCACGTACGAGATGAAAAGCGGAGGTCTAGATAAAAAAAAGGAAAAAAAAGTACATTTACTTCACATATGCACAAGAAAATGAGTAATAAAATTACATCCACACACTTCAAAGGCAAGAGGAAGTTACATGTATCCTGAAGCAACATAGGATACCACTCGCACATCAAAACTATTAAATGTACTTAAATCCAGGATTACAAATGTCTAGTAATTACTTTTTCCCGATTACTTGAGTGCGTACATTCCCTGTACGTGTTCGTGTCATTTATCGTGCTCAGGCCAACAAGTAAGTCTGATATTGTTTAATGACAGTAAAGGCAACGCTAATAAATGATCTTAGTAAAACAATGAGTACCATAATACTGCAAACAGACTTCTCCCCATACTGTGCACCTGGTGTCAGTAAACAAGTAGGTCACCAAGTTCATATTCAGCATGTCATACTTTACATTAAGGTCCCCCGTTCACATGGGTGGTAGCCTCCACCGCCCTCAGAAAAGCATTTTTCTCCATGAACAGTGGGTGGTGGAGCAGCAGCTGCCTGGCGTTCAGGAGGAAATACTGCCACCTCCTAAATGCAGAGGTTTTTTTAGGCCTGGTTCACACCTAGGCGGTCTCAATTATGCACGTTTTTTTCTGGTCGTTTTTACCTGCATAGAGATATCTATTGGGACCAAAATCGGGCAACATCCACCTGAAAATAGCTCCTGCATATTTTTGCACCACAGGTGTTTTTCTACACACGACGCAGTGCTAAGGTGTTAACAGTCGCCATTGACTTGCATGGAAATGTGTGCTTTGCGCGTGTGAACCAGGCCTTCATCCTGGACTTTTTACTGCAATACCACGCCACGGTATTCACTGCAATTATCCCGTCGTCTGACAACTGGCACCACCTGCCAAACAATGCATGCTATATATTTTTTGCTGCACTGTGATCCAAAGCATTGTGACCACAGCAATATATACAGCACTGTTCGGCCACAGTGCTGACATTGCAGCAGGCAACTGTGTGGGGGGCGTGAAACTGCAGATAAACCTCCTGGTTTTACCGCCCCCTTGCCGTCCATGTGAATGAGGCCTAAGGGTTCAGCACACGAGTGCTTGAGGCCATGCACAATAAAAGTTGGTTGTAGTTCCATGCCCAGGAGCCACTGGTGCTGCATACAGCCACCTGCAGAAATCACTGCCTGTATATGGCTGTACATTGGCATACAGCGGCCTTGCATGTGCACAGATGTAAAACTAGGAACACAGACTGTCCTCGTTCGGTGTTGTACATCCATATATATGCATTTGTTTAGCCGTGTACAGCCTATGATTGGCTGTACGCAGCACCTGTGGCTCCTGGTCGGGAAAATAAAGTCGACGTTTGCATTACAATACCTTAGGCACCTGTACAATGTAAAATTTGGCTATATGTCCCCACCCAGAAGGGATTCTGGGTGGGGAATACACCTTTAGAAATGTTTAGTAATGTCAATCTACAAAAAGATACTTCTAGATAATTACAGGTTCTGTATTTTTTGCATACCTTATTTCTCTTTTCTTCCCTAGTCTTCTAACAGTGGCCATGTTTACTAAGGGCAGATTACTAGCTCTCCCTTTACTTCTTTTATTTCTGGCAGATGTGACTAGGACATGTGACCATGCACATCATCTCAGAGGAGGAAAATGCCTTTCCCTGAGATCTCATGACATTACAGATGAGATTTCCCAGCAATGCTCTGCTGATGTAACCTTCCCAGGATGCAACGCGTTGGCACAGATTACTTCACTAATGCCCAAGAGGACCAGTAAGTGGAAAAACAGTATTTGTAAGTAAAATAAAAATAAGCTTGTTTAACTAATGCATGCAAGATGATGTCATATCAGCATTGCAGAGCTGTATTCTGATGTTATTTTTAGTGAAAGGAGGTGAAGGTCTGCTTTAAAACCAAACTCCTTCAACCCTTAGCCATAGCAAATACTCTTACTCTATAAAAACTATTCATAACCAGAAAAACCAAATGCATTACTCTGTGAGCAAGAGATGACCAGCATGCATGAAATATATAAACCTTGGGATTAGATCTTGGCTACAATGAGTAATAGGATGTAAACCAGGTAGAAGTCATCAGAGCTGCCTCTTATCACCCCTATACACTATTTTTATTTTTTCTTGTTACAGGTATTTCTATAGCGCCGACAATGTATGTAGCACTTTACATAGTTGCACATTCACATCAGTCCCTGCCCACAAGGAGCTTACAATCTAAGGTCCCTATTGCACATACATACAGTATATACATACATACATACATACATGGACGATTTAGACAGGAGCCAATTAACCTTCCAGCATGTCTATGGAGTGTGGGAGGAAACTGGAGTACCCGGAGGATACCCACTCAAGCACAGGGAGTACATGCAAACTCCTTGCAGATAGTGTTAATGTTCAAATCGGGCGCCCCCAGTACTGCAAGACAGAAGTGCTAACCGCTAAGCCACTGTGCTGCCCAACTACAACTACCATTTTCGTTAAAGGGAATATTTGCACTGTGCTTCCTAGAAAGCTTTAAGCAACCCATGGGAGGACCCCCGCTACATCAACCCTGTTTTAGTACTACAACAGACTTAGGGGGTCATTTTTAAAACTTCTGCCAGGATGCAGTTCTCATGGCACTAGCGCCCCTAGGTGGCACTGACTGATTTGCTACACTTGTCAGTGCCATCCAGGAGTGCCAGTGCTGTGTAATTATAAATGATCAAAATAGCCAAAATCCACCACCCCCCCCCTTCCTGGAGAACTCCCCACAATGTAACTTTATTGAAAACCTGTGTTTGATCAGCTTCTTTGAAGTGCAAAGGTGACACTAGGGGTCTAATAGACACCCTTATGTCCCCTTAAAGAGAACTTGTCACCTCCAATGTGCTATCACACGGGGACTTGTGAGCCCTACTATGTTATAGCAATTAAGTAAAAGAGAAATAAAGTTAAATAAAATACATTTAAAACTGCCCCCCCCTAAAAATGTAAGTCCCCCGTCCCCATGAACATACTAATGCAAACACACATCGGCTGCACCTACATACAAAAATTGCACCGTACATGCCAGCTTTCGCTGCGTGCGCAACAGAGCGAGAACAATAATTCCAGGGCCAATATTGGCGGTTAACGCAGGGAAAGGGTTAAACGCTGACCATCAAATATAACAGACAGATCTCTGAGGAATTAATTATTATACAGGATTTATACAGCGCCAACAGTTTGCGTAGCCCTTTACAATATAAAGGAAGACGTTACAGTTGCAATGCAATATAAGACAAGATGGTTAGGAAATTAGAATACTACTGTTGTAGTAGTATTGAAATTGGATGTTTTTTTAAGCCTGGAATCAGAAGAGATTGATCAGGTCTCAAACCATTCCTAATTTGGTCTTTGATCGATTCCGATCGCGTCATCCTGATTTCATTTCTGCGTCGCTGATTAATCAAATCGCACAATCTGTACTTTTTACTCGTTCAGAAAATCGATTTAAAATACAAATCGTCTATAAAAGCGTTCCATGCACAGCTACCATCAGACAATATTCTGATCTACAGAACAGTAATGGCATATATGTGTAAGGTGGTAA